ACGTTACAGCAGAGACTCTGTTTTGTTCTGTTGTTTTTTTTGTTCGCTGTTATTCTTTTGGTTGAACTAACAAAGAATGCGTTAAATACCTTAAAAGCAATGACTGAATCTAATTTGAGTGTTCACTCACACATGCTTTTTACTTTGAACACACACAGTTAAAGACATTGATGCACAGAAGGGATCATGGTCACAGGAATAAATATATATATACTGTATATATAAAAGTCACACTTGAGTTTTTTTTTTTTTTTTTGTCTGACGTTTAATTATACAGTGTTGTTGATGTTCAGGTTAAATATTTTACATCATAAGTGAATCTGTAGAAACTGGCTTTAGCCAGGAGTATGAAAAAACAAAAGAAAACAAAAGGAAAAACACTTAACGTCAACACTGATGTTTAGCTTATAGCTCTGCCCAAACCAAATAGGTTAAAATGTTTACTTTAGTTTTTGTTCATGTAATATTTATTTTTGCCCGCTATGTTTTATATATATATATATGAAAGATAATGTTTATATTATTTGCTTCCATGTTGTTGTTTTTTTTCCTTTGGTTGTTTGTTTTTGTTGTAGTCTTAATTCCTTGTTTTCCTGCTAGGCATGAATGTGTTATGAACCAAAATCATGTTTCCTTTTTTCAGGAATGACTTACAAAATGTCTTACAAAGTAATAATAATTAAAAAAAATCTGAAACACTTAAAAATTGCAGTGAATGATGTCATATTTTGTGATATATGGATAATATCTTAATTTCATTGCACATGAAAAAACGTCTCGTTTTACTAATCTTCTTTGCTTTTTGCGCAGATGAACGGTAGGCGGCGATAGAACACTTACTGAGAAGAGAACGAATCATAGCCATCCATTATATGGAACTGTGAAAACCCTCTTTCGATGAGACTAGCTCATTAAAAATCAGTTTATTACAGATTGTCACATGTGGTTGTCTTTATAAGTTCCTGTAGCGGTACATTATAACTGGTTGAAAACCAGTTTCAACTAGTTATAATGTATGGACGACCATTAATGTAATCATACGCAAATAAGTAGAAAATCGTAAAGGAATTTAGAAAGCTATCATTCTTGGTTGTTGTAATAATACGCAGCACAGTAAAATGAGTCAGTCCAAAGCTCAGAGCACCAATCAATAATTTTCGACTGTTCCCGGGGGAAGAGGGCAGAACCTGATGGACAGCAGAAGCACCACAGTCAAGGTGTACTTACAGGTGATTATATCAACTAATCGGTGGATTACAGCATGTTGAATCCACAAGAGCACATAAACCATAAAGAAAAGACTGCGTCGTCTGCTGAGATTTTCTTTTTAATCTGGTTCCACGATGCAGCAGGCCCCTCCTGTTCTCACATCTGGCCTGCTGGGATTTACGGTTGTAATCCTCGTTTTTTTAAACTACTTTACTATGCCTTAATGCTGATACTCTGCACAGTAATTATTAAAATGCAGCTTTCTGTTTTAGCAACGAAGTAATTACACAGCCCTATTCTATTAGCCCTCGCTAAGTAGGTTGTCGGGTTGCGTCACCATGACCTCTGCCTCTCTGATGGCTGCTGGCCGACTGCGCCCGTACAGACACGTTTAACATACAGAGACCTTACGATAAGGCCACGAGGCTAATATCTGCTAAACAGACCCTTCGTTGGCGATATTTGTCAGTTTAAAAATACATTTCTTTAACTGACAACAAAAAGATGTGTCACTTATTCACATGTCAGCTATTTTATCTAATTTCACAGTTGTTTACAGAAATAAACAAGTATATACAAATTATAATATAAATATTTTGTTTCTTATGATACAAATTATAATATAAATATTTTGTTTGAATAGATTAATTGAATAGATTAATAAAATTATTAACAATCTGCAAAATTATGATACATTTGTGAATGTAATGGTAATGCAGTGATAATGGTATCTTTATACTAGAAAAATTATGTTTTTCTGTTATGTTTTTCACAGTTACTGAAGCTCTCTGTTATTTTGTTTTTGACAGATAAAATAACAGTATTTTCCCATAATTTAATTTTATAATTTTCTTCCTCAATTTTTCAATTTTTATTGTAAAAACAAAATACAGGACAATTTGTAAAATACACTGATAAAATTCTGTTTAAAACTTATTTTTTTAAACACTGTTTACCAATTTGTAAAATACACTGATAAAATTCAGTTAAAAACACAAAGCCTCCATGTTAAACAAAAATGTATTCCCTGCCCTGTTCTCACTGTGCTCTAACATCCAGCTCAGGCAGTGGAGGGTTAAAAGCACTTGATGTGGTAAATGTAAAAAAAAAAAAAAACATGCTGTAAAAATGTCAGATTAACACAAAGAGGCACTTTGGCAAATCCTGATTATACAAGCACTTTCATTTATTAAACTCTGCCAATCCTCTGTGCTCTCTCTCTGAGCACGGATTAAAAGCAGGTAGACACCATTGTCTATCTAAACAATCCCTCACTAAGCTCTGGCTGCTTCCTGGTGCCCTCACCAGACCTGGATGTATGGTGGTTGCCAATAATCCCACTCGGGGTTTGCAGGTCACCAGGGCCACTACACATTCCCATATACCAACATGATCCACTTCAGATGGACGAGGTGGACGTATGTAGGACATGATTGACAGGGACATGAAGAGGGAACGCACTAAAGCGTGTTTACAAGCCCTGTACTGTGAAAAGGTCTACGGATAAGTGGCAGCCATATGGAATAGATCACCCTGTGAACATCTGCCCTACATCACAGCTACAAACTGTCATCAGACTAGTGCCTCTGACCTTCATACACACATATACACACATCTGGGTGTTCTCACTCCTATAGACCCATAAAACTAGCATAAAGTAAACTAGTCTGAGTAAATATGCCCATCTACTTTTCTGAATATTCTATAAATTTAAGTTCTGACATTCTTCCAAGTGGTGTTTCCGTCAGAGAATTCTTCTTTTGTTTGCTTTGATTTTGAAAGACTTGATCGTTTTTTTCCTTGTCAATGCCTTACAAAAATATAATGATAACACTTATAACTTATGTTGGAAAAATCCCAAGATGATGTTGATCATGTTGGTTCTCAAGAATTCAATCGGACAGAGTTTCACATTTCAGCTGGACAGCTCCAGTTATTTTGGGGTTAGTACTGTACATAACCTTTCTGTGAGTCAGTACACCCTGTGATTATTGGAACTGGGTTTTTTCTTTTCTTTCACAATAGCAGGTCATTTTGGATTGATTCATTAGTTTTTCTTGTAATCCTCCAGCTTCTCCCTTCCACAGCAGATCATATTACTTCATCTCACTCTAGTGCTACTTTGCCTCCTTTTCATTTCTCATAAAAATGTGTCCAAACATTCTCGGGAGTCTTACTGTCATCCTTTCAATTGTCCAGCTTTTTCTTCAAACTGTACAGGTTAACTTTTAGCTTGCTAGCCTCTCATGTGCATTTTCTAATCATATCCATCTGGGTCAATTCAAATGACAGTCTCAACATCAAACTCTTAATTGTACCATCATTTACTCTGAACTACCTCAAATATTCAAGGTACTTCTTCAGCCTTCTTCTTGCATCTTAACTCCTAATCTGAACCCATCTGCCCATTTGACTGCACTGTTTCCATCCGTATCCACGTTCAACACCAACTTCACATACTTTTCTGCCACACCTATAAAGCACAGTACTCCTCCTTTTGAATTACTCTATATATTACCACCAATACCACAGTACTTTTTAACTTCTGTCCCTCTTTTTTTAAGTTGTTTTAGGCACACTCTGTTAAAAATAAAAAATGTAAACATTTTTAATTTTATAAAAATCAATAAACATCAAAATTATCCTTTTCAACTCCAAGTGTTATGTAAGTGTAAATAGTGGACAATGTTAATGTAGTGAGCGGTACATCTGGGTTCATAGTATTTCTTTTTGTATAATCTCTTAGCCAGGTGATAGCCTTTATGGCAGATGCTTTTTGACATAAATTCATTTCCCAAAGACCTGACATATGCTGATCAAATCCAATATCTTTACCCTCATAAAACTTGTCTATTTTTTTTCTAGATTAAACGACCATGAGGCCCCGCTCTCGCTGGACAAGGTAAACTGTTCACCTCAATAATTGTATCACAAGGTAAGAAGCTTACTGTAATTCCACAGTTGTCCCGGGGTGTCTGCCTAAAACATGGAGTACAAATCACTTGTTTCTAAATTGAATGAACACTCACTCAAAGAGCTGTCACACCGGTGGAGGACTGAGGGATTACCGTGATAATCCAACACATTTTATCTTTTTTTTAGGATTACCGTGATAATCCAACACATTTTTTATCTTTTTTTTTTAACCACACAATCGAACAATTAATCTGACAATATGTCGGCGAAATACCTGAAAAGATGGTCTGGCCATGATTATAAGTGATGAGCACAACAAGCATGTGGGTCTGCTTACCTTCCAAACACCACTAGATTTAGTGAATGATTTTTACTAGCTGTCAATTGAAGCAACCACTATACACAAAAAAGTACATTCATTTAATTTACAATCATTTTTTTGTCTTGGAAATGAAACTAAAACAGGGAACTTAAATAATGAGACAACGCCTTGGTGCCCAAGGTGGGGGCCAGGCTCCCACTTAGAGGGAAAGGAATTATTACAGCAAATAAAATTGTGAAACTGTTTATGTAATCTTTTAATTTTAACACATTGGGAAACACTGATTAGCAATTTTCTATCTCCTTTTCAGTGAGAATAACAGTGGGTCTTGGGTCATTTCCCCTCTTTTTTCTTGTAAGATTCTCCTACGTTTTTTGCATTTCCTGGGGTCTCTAATACATACTAATACTAAATAATAATAAAAATACATGTATTTCAATCACTTTTATTATTATTATTATTATTAGTAGTAGTAGTAGTAGTACTAGTAGTGGTTTAACAGCTGACTAAAGAAGTTGTGTGTTGTGTGGCCCTGAAAGGGTTAAAAGAAGAGGAGGAGGAGGAACAGCGGCGAACAGCTCAGTCAGGGTGGAGTAAAGTTTGGGAAATTAGCCTAACGAGGAGCGTTATGTTCGAGTGTGATTATTATTAGCAGAGCTTTTAAAAACGCGGAGACAGAGGGGGGTTAACGGAAGGCTGTGAAGATGGGTGATGTGAGCGAAGAAGCGCTGCTGGATTATTTCTCCTGCAGCGGAGGGAGTTCGGGCAGAGTGAGGAACGCAGATCTACTGAAGACATTTAAACCCTTCATTGGTCACGCCGACCTGCAGCTGCGTGGTGAGTACAGCGGTTTTACCGTCGTCGTGGATTCAGCGGGATAGAGGTCTGTTTAGGGGGGTGTGATGGTGACGTTCTGCAGTGAAAGAAGCCTAAAAACAAACGGACCTCGTGTTTTTCCCCCCTCCAAACTGCCCCCACAGTTTAACTTGGCGGTTTCCAAAATGGGGGGCCCGCCCCCTGAAGAGAGCGCGGGACTTTTGCAAATGGGCGTGGCCAAGACCTGTTTAAAAAATGGCTAACATGGCTAGCGTTTGAGTACTAACAAACAAATTTCACTGGATACCCTACAAGTAGGTAAGTCTGTACCAGTCTGCACTAGTTGGGGACAGTCATCATGGCTAGTTGGCAAAAAATGTGGAAGTATGTGGGGGTGAACAGGTTGGACCACAGTCACAGTCAACAAACATGTTTGAATTATTTTGAGTTAAGTCTGGACACAATTGGTTTGTTTGAACAGACAAATGTTTGTTTACCCTTTGAACTATGGCCCTTTGCACAACAATTTGATTTCAGCTTTTAGCTAACTTTTAGCTTTTGTTGACTTGACAAATTATGAATCTGCTGAAAGTTTTTTATTTTGGTGTTCAAGGTCTGTACAAATACTTTATCAAGTCACTAATATGCAGTGGCTGATGGGAAGGTAGAGTCGGCCATCAGCTCAAGGCTGTTTCTAATCTTTGTCCTATATTTTATGTTTGGGAATTGGTCACAGCTGGTACAGAAAGGTTTGAGTGAAGGTTTAGGTGGTTCAGGTTGTAAGTTGTTGTTTTTTTTTCTCTAAATAAACTCACACTAACTTTTTTTGTTTGGGAAACACCAGTTAAACTTCTCATAACATTATTTGTTACAAAAATAAACACGTTAATCTTTTCAGTTCTCCTTCTAAACCGACCGTTGTAGCTCTCTCTTTGTTCTTTGGCGCCGTACACCCCTGGTCTACGTTCAACCTTCCTCTCTTTTTGGGGATCTAAAGTTT